AGTGAATCACCATGAGGCTTAGAAAACATATGGGACTCCGGGAAAAAAGATGACATTGCTTTGTTAGTGCTGGGAATTGAAATTGAGTTGGCTGTAAATGAAGTGTCTTTTTTTAAAATAATAGGGTTAGGGGCGCCTGGGTGGCTCAGTGGGTTAAGCTGCTGCCTTCGGCTCAGGTCATGATCCCAGGGTCCTGGGATCGAGCCCCGCATCGGGCTCTCTGCACAGCCGGGAGCCTGCTTCCCTTCCTATCTCTCTGCCTGCCTCTCTGCCTACTTGTGATCTCTCTGTCAAATAAATAAATAAATAAAATCTTTTAAAAAAAATAAAATAATAGGGTTAAAACTAATGTTTGAGAAATGAGGATAAAATTAATTCTGGAAGAAAAGTAGACCTTAGATTTCAAGTAAGGTATTTATTGTTAAAAAGAGCACAAGTTCTGCCTTGCCTTTTTAGAAAGACTTAACATTGTTTCTTAAAGACATCTGAAAACTAGTGTTGATTTATGTTGCATGAAGAGGCATTTTAAATCATTTTTGTATTTGATTTTGTGGTGTTACATTAGTGTCTGTGTCTGTGCAGGTGCGTGCCTCGGGCTGGTAATACTGAATTACTCTTGGGGAGTGTTGATTGTTTGGCACATTTCCATTGGGGATGCCCTCTGTGAACTGGGCCTTGTACAGGGGGAAACAATGTGATTGAAACAGATACCATACTTGCCTCTGTGGAGGTTTTATTCTGCCTTAAATTAATCATGACCAGGGTGATATGGAAACATGGAACAGGAGAACTTGGAGAGGAGGTCAGGAAAAACCCCTTACAAGGGACAAATGTTTGAATCTCCCAAATGAGCTGCATATAGCTAGACAAGGGGTTGGGCTGTGGACTAGGAGTAGGGAGGAGATTTGAGAGAACATTCCAGATTCGCAGCCTCTCAGGCAGGACAAGGCCTGATGTGTTCCAGGAGTTGAGAGAAGAGGGACAGCTAAAGTATAGAAAACAAAGTGTGGAATGGATGAGCCAGGTTGGAGAGGCAGGCAGGGCCCTGAATGCCCGGGTAAACTTTGGACCTTGTTCTGAGGCCATTGGGAAACCTTCAGTTTTTAAAAATTTGTATGTATGTATGTAGGCTCCACGCCCGGGGTGAAGCCCAACGCAGGGGTTGAACTCACAACCCTGAGATCAGAACCTGAACTGAGATCCAGAGTCGGATGCTTAACCGACTGAGCACGTAGGTGCCCCGCCACTGAATTAGTTTTAAGTAGGAGAGTGACAGAGTGTTTGTGATTTAGACAAAACACTATGCTGGGTTGAGTGTGGAGTTTAGGATGGACAAGAATTTGAGAGTTCGCATATGTTAGTACTGGGAATTGAAATTGAGTTGGCCATAAATGGGGTGTCTGGAGAGTCCATATATGAGCTAGAGTCAATTCAGGTCTCATGCTGGTATTTGGGGCCTAATGATGATTGCAGAATTGGCAAAGTTGGCGTGTTTGAGAGGCCATGCAGGAGGTGCAGTTGAGAGAACTTGGTTGATGTATTCTGTGTTATATGTTACAGAGCAGGGTTTGGCAAACTGTGCCAAATCTGACCCATTGCTGGTTTCCATAAATACTGTTTTATTGGGACACATTTGTTTACGTGTTGTCTGTGGCTGTTTTTGTGCTACAGCCACAGTTAAATTGTTGGCTTAGAGGCCGTTTGGCCCACAAATCCCAAGATATTAACTCTCTGGCCTTTTAAAGAAAAAGTTTGCCAGCCCCTGATATATAAGGTACTTAGTACGCATCAAGCGCTGTGCTAGTGGCAGGATTAGGAGTCCTGAAAAATGTGGACACAGGTCTACTTTGGGAATGTACATTATAGTTGGAGAGGCAAAATCACCTCAACAAATAAATTAAAAATCACAACTTGATAAGAGGCAGTGGAGGAAAAGTTGAGGCTATTGGAGAGAGGTATTTTGAGAGAATATAAGAGGGGAAATAATCCTTTTATTAGATGAGAGGAACCACTAGAAATGATCGGGGGGTGTAGTCTGGCAGGTGGCTCTGGGCCCAGTATGTGGCTTATTGGGAAAGATTCCATGTTAGGGTTTTCACTGGGCTGCCTTGCGGGAGGCCCACAGAAGTAGAATTACCTGAGCCAAACCCCTGTGCGGGGATCTGCTTCCACCCGCACCTCCCCCCCCCCCCCCCCCCCTTTTTTTTTTTTTTTTTTTTTTTACCTTGGTCTCTTTTATTGCAGGGAGGATGCCTAATGAGACCTTAAATCCTGGCGCTGCTGTCATGGTGAGGGGACTGGAGGAGTTGGAATGGTTGGGGGAGGAGAGCATGATCTGATGGTCTCTTTCAGTGCCCAACCTTATGGAACTGGCTTGGGAGGAGGGTCCCCACAGTGACCCCGGGGCTCTGTGCCTAATTTTGGAGTCTGACTGCAGAGGGGGGCTCATTTAAACTTGGCAGAAGCAGAGTTCCACACCCAGACCATCCCTCGTGAGGCCTCCCAAAACACACGTATCTGTATAAATTTAAATTAATTAAAATTCAGTAAAATTAAAAACCCAATTTCTTAGTTGCCTGAGCCACATTTCTCAAGTGCTCAACAGCTACACGTGCTGGTGGCTGCCTTTTTGGAAATCACAGACTTAGAACATTCCCGTCATCACAGAGTGCTCTGTCAGACCATGCTGTACTACAGGATTCTGAAATTAAAAGACCGTTAAGTTTCTAGGATGCAGTGGAAGCCCTATTTTCCCAGACATAAAAGATTACAAAACGCTTTAGTCTTGGGAGGGGATCTAGGGGTTTCATGAAAATTAAGTGATCAATGCCAGACTTTTGATGCCCTAAATAGTGTAGGGAAAACTCTCCAGAGCCCAGAATTAGGCACTGGCAGTCACTGGTGGTGTGAAGTGACAAAGAGACCCAAAGCTTACACTCTCAGATTTGTCCAGCTATTAAAAGAAAGGAAATGCTGTCTGCTCAGTTGGCCATCTGATCCCTGTCGCTGTCCCAGCTGTTGATACAGCACACCACCAGCCCTAGAGATGGGCAAAGAAATGAGCATGGCTGTGTGCCAATAAAACTTTATTTATAGAAACAGGAGGCAGGTCAGGTTTGCTGAGCTCTGCTGTGGCAGAGCTGAATGTGCTGAATGTGTTCCCTTCCCCAGTGATAACCAGTTGTCCTTCAGGTGGTCCTTGCTGAGCTAGAATATATGTGTGTTGTTTTAGGAGTCAGTCACCTTCGAGGATGTGGCGGCGGGGCTCATCCAGGAGTGGGCGTTGCTGGACGGGGCGCGGAGGAACCTGTGCCGATACGTGATCCTGGACAAGTGTGGGACCCTGGCCCCCAGGGGTAAGGCTAGCATCAGGCTGGTTCTTCTCCCATGCAGGTGTCTAATGCCTTTTAAGGGCCAGCTGCATGCCCTAGGAAGATGAGTGGGCTTCTGCAGGAAAACAGCTCCATCTGTATTCTTCCAAATGCATGGGTCTCACCGAACTTGGCCTTGGGTTTCAGGGCTTCATCCCTGAGGGGCACAGGAGAGGGTGTTTGTGGTGCGGTGTGGGCCCTTGTGGAAGAGCTTCAGTGAGTTCATTGGAAATTGGGTGTGATCACTTTGCTACCCCTGGCACTGGCTCAGTGCCAGGAGCTGAAGCCCATGCAGAAGTGGCAAGCCCACTGTGAACCCTCCCTACTTCCCTCAGCATGTGTATTTTTATCCAGCAGTGGGGATTCCACCATGCAAACCCAGTCTGGGCTCCCGGGTGGGGCCAGAAGAAGAGCTGAGGGCCCCACGGGTGTGGGTGTGTGTGTGTGGGGTGCCCACTGGGTGGAGGGGGTGGTGTGCTGGGAAGGGTCAGTCTGAGAGCATTTCAGAGGCCCTTTATCGCAAGGGGAAATGAGACTCTTTGGGGTGAGGTTTCTCAAGTGAGTTCCTATGGTAGTCTTTCTCTTCTGCTAGCCTTTTCCTACTTCTCTTTGGTCTCAGAAATGATCTGTTCAAATGTCTCTCTTTTTTTTAACTGAGATGTTCACATACCATAGAATCCACCCTTTCAGAATGTATAACTCACTGGTTTTCAGTATATTCACAGAGCTGTGCTGTCTTCACCAGTCTCTCCTCTCCTCCCATCTGCTTTCTGTGTGCACGGATTTGCCTTTTCTGGGCATTTTGTATAAAGAGAGTCGTAGAACATGTGGCCTTTGGTGTCTGTCTTCTTTCGTTAGTGTAATGTTGTCAAGTTTCACCCACATTGTAGTGTGTGTCGGAGCTTTGTTCCTTTTTAGGGCTGAGTCGTGTTCCTTGTGTGGGCACACCACGTTTTGTTTGTCCACTTGCCTGTGGACGGACATTGGGTTTGCTTCTACTTTTTGGCTCTTGTGAATAGTGCTGTGAACATTCGTGTACCAGATTTTATGTGGGTGTGTTTTCAGTTCTCTTGGGTTGATACTTAGGAGTGGAATTGCTGGGTCGTTTACTGAGCTTTTTGGGGAACCATCAAAGTGCTTTCTCAGGTGCACACACCATTTTACGTTCCCACTGCTGGTGGCCGAGGGTTCCGATGGCTCCACATCATACCCACACTTGCTGTCTTATCCCTCGTGGAGGGGAACATTTCTGTGTATATGGCCTAATTGCCTCTTACTTGTTTCTCTGATAAGGCTGTCCTTCTGGTGACGTCTCTCTCAGTCCCAGGAGGACAGAGTTTCTCATCCCCACCCCCTGCTCCTGTCACTGTCACATTCCACACACAGCTGTACTCTTCAGTGTCTCCCTTTGCTCCCTGATGCCTTCTTCCCTTTTGGTACCAGGCCAAGGTTAGGGTCAATATTTAAAAAACAATATTTTAAAAACAATAAATAAATACTTAAATATTTATTTTGGTCAATTTTGTACCACTCTTTCTGAAAGACCTTAATTTTTTCTTTTTTTTCCTAATTCATTTTAGACTGGGCGTCTCAACTTAAATCCAAAACATTGACTCCTGTGCAGGATATTTTGGAGGAAAATTCGTCCCAGGGTATGCAAATGGTAAGATTCATGGGGGATTATCCTTGTTCCCTGTCTTGGGAGAAATTGAGGAATTTGTGAGTTGGAAATGCACACCAGAGCCAGGAAGACATTTGGGGGCATTTTCAAGGACATGCCCACATGGTCTGAAGGGAGTGGCCACGACTCATGAATTTGGGCAAACCCTGTTGTCACTCAAGACTCTTTCTCTTTGAATCCCGAGTAAATATTGCCATCAGTGTGAGTCAGACATTGCTTGTGTGCAGTATGGTTTACTCCTCCACAGTCATGGGAAACTCCTGTGTTTTGGAGAAGCCCTATGGAAATCATGAATGGGAGAAAGCCCGCAACCTCCTTGAGCCCTCAACCCGTCTAAGCAAGGTGTACTTCTGAAAGTGCTAGAAACCTGCCTTGACGGGGAGGAGAGCAGCCCAGGGCACTTTGCGGGTGTTGGTGGGGTTGTTGTCGTCACTCACCCCTCGCTAGGAGCAAACTGGGCCTGGAGAGATGATTCAGCCACATCCAGAATGGCTTCAGGAGGAACTCTAACCTAGACCTGATGAGAGAACCATGGGAGAGAGGGTCGCCCTGACTATAAGGGACGTGGGAGAGCTGTTGCATACCCCTCCCCACTGAGGAGAGAAGTCGAGATCCTGCACCTGAAATGAACCCTTGTCACAGCGTGGCAGAGCCTTCAGAGCCAGGTGGCGTGTTCCAGCGCACGAGGGAACAGACTGAGCCCCGCTACCCCCACCTTGGCACTGAGTTCCCGCTCCCCTTACTGTAGGAATTTCCAAGGTTTAGGTTCCAGTTCTTGGGGATTTCCAAGATGAGGGTTAGGGTTTGGATAGGGGGACATACAGAGCCCAGTTTCACTGCCAGGCTGGGCCTGTTTGTCCCAGAGCCAGTGAGATCTCTGGGCTCCCCCAGTCTGTCCCCCTCCACCCCTGTCATGGATGGTGTCCGTCTCAGGGTGTCAGAGATGCCAACCTTGTGGATGGGGTGGCAGGGCCTGGATGGTAGAGACCTGCTTCATTGCTTTGCTCTGAGCATGCAGAAACTTAACCCTGCACATCCTGGTGTGGGCTACAAGGTAGCTGAAGCCCTCACCCCTGCATGGCTCTCATCAGACCCCAGGGCAGCTGAGACACTCCTCACTCTCCATGTCTTCCTCACCGTTTGTTCACATTTTTGTCTAGGTGGAGATTGTCCTCCAGTAGCTGCTTGGGAAAGGGCTTGTTGCTTTGGAGGCCCTGAGGTCTGAAAATACCTCATTGGAGCTGCAGGGGCCTCATCTGACAGGCTCGTTGCCGTAACCCCATGCAGAGCATTCTGTGTGTCATTACAGAGCCCTCAATTAATGCTTGTTTGTGAAGGCGCGAATGCAGGCACTCCAGGCCCTCTCCGTCCCTGTGTCTTGATTAGCAGATGGACCCTGTGAGGGAGGAGAACTCACAAGGCACAGCTGTCCTCTCCAGTTTCTGTGGGCTCTTTCCCCTCAGTATGGGATTCCAGCACCTTCCACAGAGTTCCACTCCTAGCTCAGCAGTGAGCGCTGAGTGTGGGAGAGGAGGGGGTTCTGCTGCATCTGAGCCTCAGGAAACAAGCCGTCACAGAATGTTTTGAACGGGCAGAGGAGGTCCACCCGGACACACATGTGGAGAAACTGAGTGGTTCATCCATGAAGACACACAGCCTGTAAGTGGTACAGCCACATTTGGAGCTGGGAGTCAAATCCAGGCGTAATTGCAGAGATTGCCGTCCTAGCGGCCGGGGTCTGCTGGCTGGGAATCCTACCACCTGCCAGGTGGTTGAAAGTGCTGGTGGTTCAGCTGGCCCTTCCCGGCATCGTCGGGCCTCGTCACAATGACTGAGGCCCCATGGCAGCTCTGAGGCCTCCCTGTCACGTGAGAATAAGGCCTTGTGGCCTCCTCCTCAAGGCCAGCTAGGCCAGGGGAGGGCAGGCACATAGAGGGCTGGAGACTGCTCCCAGAAAAACCCCGAAACAGGCTGAGGAAGCGGTCTCCAGGCTCAGCCCTTCTATTCTCCCAGCCGCCCCCCCCCATCCTCCGCCCCCATGCTGTGTCCCCTCCATGCTGCTTCAGGGCAGGGGGGATATTGGCTTGCGTGAGCGTTGGATAAGGACAGGGTTCAGAGGATGGGCTGTGGATGGCCGGGCAGATGTAAACAGCTCTGGGCGAGAGTTTGGTCCTGTGATGGATGCCTGCTAAATAGACAAACACAGACTCTAAGAAAACACAGAACAACATTTATATTCAGAACCTAGGGCTTTTAGCCTTTCTTCAGCGAAGTACTTTGCAGTGCCTCTGAGGGCCTGTGGCCTAAGCCCCTCGCTGAACCCCCAGAACCAGAAAGGGCCGGGTTCACCTCTGCATCTGTGGCGTGTTCAGTCCTTGAGACCCTCGGTGGCTGGTGCCCGCAGTGCTGTAGGGGAGTCACCAGGCCTGAAGCTGCCCGACCTGCATGTCTGCCTTCTGATGGCACTACCCCAAAACTGAGGGTCCCTCAGGCTCAGAGCAGCTTCATTGCCACCTCTGTCCTGCTCAGTCCCCTCTGTGCCTTCTCTTGGGGGCCGGGCTGGACCTGAGGATGCAGATTAGGCCCACAATTGGAGACAGGGGGACACCTTTGATTCCAGAGGACTGTCTGCCTTTCTGGGTGTCACCTTGGTCTTCTGGATGTACAGTAAACCTGGGAGGATGTTTGCTGTGAGGGCCCAGCCCCAGCCAGGAAGGCCTGCGGTTCAGCATTTCTGCCTATCACCCACACTGAGGGACCTGCCCCCACCACCAAGTCCTTTGAGCTTCCCCCCCAAGATATAACTTATCTCTGACTGCTCCTGCTGTCCCCAGTGCCACCACCCTCCCCAGAGCCACTGATAGTTCTCAAGGACCCCTAGAACTGCTCCCCACAGGCTCCCATTTCTGCTGGGCCCCACCCTGGATACAGAGGCTAGGGACATCCCTTAGAAATGCAGGTCCGGTCAGACACCTTCCCTGAGGGAGCATCCACCAGTGGAGGGGAGTTCAGACCCTTTCTCCCACCACAGGGCTTCCTTCTGGGAATAACTTACTGACCGTGCATCATGTTTGGGGGTCCACCTCCCCCCACTACCCCTCAGCCTGCTGGCCATCTGCACCCCTCTTTGCTCCAGTGTTTCCCCCACTCCTGGAGGCTTCTCAGAGGTTGCCTCCTCAGCCCGGATCCCCTCTCCATCTCATTTTGAGGTTGAAATTCTATCACAGTGATTAGTTTTGTACCCAGATTAATCTGGACAAACTACATTGGGTGTGTCTCAGTTTTATCAGTGTGTTGTCCTCAGCAGGGTCTACGTTGCAAATTCAGTCAGGGTGAAGAGCTGTGAGCAGACTCCATTGACTGTGTGACTCTGATCTGTCCCTGTCACTGTCTAGGGGCTGAAGGCGGCCGTGCAGATTCAGAGGGTGGCCATGCCGGTGCCTGCACTGGGTGTCCCTGAGCTGGGGATGGCCGGGGATTCTGGTGAGTGAGAGCCAGGTGGAATTGGTGGCCTGGGGGTCTGGGAACTTGCATCCCCCCATTCCTTTCCTCCGACCACAGGCATTTCCCTGCACCAGAAGGAAAGAATACATAGTAAAGTCAGTCACCATTCTTTATGCATTCAAGGGGAAACGTGCTTTCTTAGGATTGTGGGCTGGGAATCTTTTTGGGTTTTTTGTTTTGGTCTTTGGTCTTTCTGTTAAGAAGGAGCAGACTCCCTTCACCTGTGGCCAAGTCCACGCCTCTTTTTGGGTAAGGTTAAAGTCTCCACAGTTATGTTGATGCTGAAAATGACAGTTGAATTTACTGTAAGTGGCGTGTTTTAACTGCGCTTATAAAGAATTTAAATGGATATGTTTTAACTGAGTTTATAAAGAATGAGGTTAAAACAAACCACATGTCCTGAGAAGTGGGGGGAAAAATTAATTCCAGAGGACAAATAACCCCTTTTAGCTATAATTGCAGGGCATTTGTTTCCTTCCATCTTGCCTTCTAGTGAGAATAATAAACTTTGTTTCTGAACAGTATCATCAAGTCTTGCATTTGGAATCTCTTGTATCATCAACAGGAAGTAATTCTTAGATTATGTAATGTATTACTCTTCTGTGTATTTTTGGTAAGCTTTCTGGGCAAGGCTTTGCCTTGAAGTACTCTTGAAGTACTTAGGGTACTGCGCTCTTGAAGTACTCTTCATAGTTGGCTCACCTGTGGTGAGGTGGGCACTGGGATACAGTCTCAAAACATTGGCCCCTTCCTGGGCGGTCAGATTTTTCAACGAAGACCAGAATACAATAGAAGCGTGCCCCATCTTGCGGGCAGAGGGAAGTTTCTGGAAATTGGAAGTGAGACCATGGGTTCTCACTGCAGCACTACTGAACCTTGGGACCAGATCCTTGTCTGTGGAGGGGCAGGTCTGTGCTGGGTAGGGTGTTTAGCGGTGTCCCGGACCTCCACCCACCAGACGCCTGGAGCGTCTCTTGTCTTGGTCCGCCAGGGGACGCTCTCCTACCAAAGTACCACAGACTGCATGGCTCAACCACAAAACTGGTTTTCTCATAGTTCTGGAGGCCAGAAGTCTAAGATCAAGGGATTGGCAGGGTTGGTTTTTCTCAGGGCTGTGACCTGTTCAGGCATCTCTCCTTGGCTTGTAGGTGGTTGTCTTCTTGTGTTTTCATTTTGTGTATGTGTCTGTGTTCAGATTTTGTTTTCTTACAAGGACACCAGTCATATTGGATTAGGGCCCACCCATCTGACCTCATTTTAATAATGACCTCTTTAGAGATCTCATGTCCAAAGATGCTCGTATTCTGAGGCACTGGGTATTCATTAGGACTTCATCCTATGAGTTTTTAAAGGGACACAAGCCCATAACAGCCCCTAGTCATGACAGCTGAAAATGTCTCCAGAAGCTGTGGCTGGTCCCTACCTCCCTGTACCCCAAGATCATATGCTGAAGTCCTAACCTCCCATGTGACCATATTGGATGGAGACTGAGCCTTTAAGAAAGTGGTTAAGGTTGCATGAGGTCATAAGGATGGAGCCCCAATACCATAGAACGGGTGTCCTTACAAGAAGGAGAGACACCAGAGCTCTCTCTAGGAAAACTGCTCTCACTAGCCCAACCATGTTGGCTTCCTGCTTTTAGACTGCCAGCATCCAGAACTGTGAGGAAGTAAATTCCTACTGTTTAAGCAGCCCTGTCTCTGGGATTTTGTTATACAGCAGAGCTGACCGAGATACTTGTGAAGGGAGCAGAGGGAAGGGGTGAGTGGTGTGAGCTGACTGGAGAAGGTTGGGCTCTGGATCATTCAGGGCCTGGAAGCATGGGAGGAGATCCCGGCCATGTGCTCAGGCTGCCAGGAGCGAGGGATGTGTTTGGGTCAGAGGTGCCATGCATCTGCGGTTTTAGCAGAACTCTCCAGCACGGGAGGTGGCAGGGCCTCCGGGAGGATCCAAGCGGTGGGTGGAGGCCGTGAGGAATGGGGTGGTAGTGGCCTAGACCAGTGGTGAGTGCGGAGTGGGTGTGGCGGGGTCCCGGAGACCACTCCTGGTTGTGGCCATTCGCTAGGACTCCCCCCTTGGCCCACAGTCGTACTCATGGTGGTGGTTTATCACAGTGAAGGGGCACAGAACTGGAGTCTTAACTGAAGTCTGGGGGAGTCCAGGAATGAGCTTCTGGAAGCCTCTGCCAGTGGAGTGACACAGGACATGCTTAATACCCCCAGCAACAAGCTGTGACAACACATGTGAGGTGATGTCTACCAGGGAAGTTCAGTAGAGACTCGGTGCCCAGGTTTTTCACTCGGGGCTGGTCGTGTTGGCACCCTCTGCCCAGCATGAACCTGGCTCCTGTTGGCAGGTGCCGGACTCCTGGAAGGGAAGCAGGCATTCAGCACAAACCAGTGTTTGTAGAAACAGTTTAAGCAGAGTGAGCCCCTCTTACCAGTTAGGGTGGGGGAACCCTCTGTAGATCCATGTTCCCAAGGGCCAGCAGTCAGTCCTGTTGTGTTAATTCTTGTCTACACTGTGGGGAATTGGGTAAGACACACGTAGGAGGTTGAGTTGAGATAATTTGCCGAGTCCTGTATGCTTTCCTTTGCCAGACAATCCAGAGCATTCATGTGCCAAGCACAGTGTGGGGAGGGGGTGTAAAAGGAAAGGGAACCCAGGTTTGTTCTTCCAAAGCTTCCAATCCCATGAGGGTGGCAGAAAATACGTACCTAGGGAAGCCAAAAACCATGTGGTTACAGATAGATAGAGGCTGTGAGGAAAGGGGGAGGGTCCTTCTAGAGGAAAGAAGGACACCGGGGAGGGGAGGCACTTTGAGGGAGTGACCTTTCAGTGGATTCAAAAAAGAAAGGCCTGATGTGGCATCAGCCATGGTGGGGATAGGGGGGCAGGAGGAAAGGGAGTGGGGTGGGTGGGGGTGGGGGGAGATGAGTGCTCCCTGTAGAGATACCATCACTGAGGTTTTTTTTTTTTGTTTGTTTTTGTTTTTGTTTTTGATTAATTGTTGGGGTCTTTGGAGTGTCAGGGGTGAGATTTCCCATCTGAGGCAGGGATGTTCTTCCTAAGATCAGGGACGCTGGAAGAACAGCCTTTGAGAATAAGGTGTTGAGCACATTTTTGGTGGTGGGGGGCATGAGACAACAGAAATTCATATCTCACATTTCTGGAGGCCACAAGTTTCCACAGGGTGTTGGCAGGGCCGTGCTTCCTTTGAAGCCTGTGGGGAGGCCCCTTCCTGGCAATCCCTGGTGTTCTTGGCTTGTAGCTACATCACTCTGGTCTTTGCCTGCGTCATCACATGGCCCTCTCCCCTCACGTGTCCCTGCTTCTGTCTTTTCTCCTCTTCTTAGGACACCAGTCATATTGGGTTTGGGGCCCACTCCTCTCCACTGTGACTTCATCTTAGCCAATCACATCTGCAAAGACCCTGTTTCCAAATAAGTTCACATTTTGAGGTAGTGGGGGGTTACAACTTTATAATTTTGGAGGGACACAATTCAACCAATAATGGTCTGCCCTCTGGTCCCTCTCCCCTCAAATTCATGTCCTCCCCATATGCAAAATACAGTCAGACAATCTTGACAACCCGAGTTATTACCCATTCCAGCATCAACACTAAGTCCCAAATCTCATGAACTCAAGAAGTCCCCAAGTCCGTATGAATTATCTAAATCAGGCATGGGAAGACTTGGGGTGTGGGCTCTACCATGTGCAAAATTCCTCTTTACCTGTGAACCTGTGAAATGAGAAAAAAAGTCCTCTGTTTCCAAAAGACATTGGTGGGACACACACAAGGTACATGCTTCCTCTCCCAAAGGGAGAGGAAAAAAGGGGTTATGGGTCCCAAGCAATCTCGAAACCCAGCAGGGCAAGTTCAAGGCCTGGTAGCAGTCCTCTGTGATGGCAGCAGCCCTTCCCCCCATCTCACTGTGGGTGTAAGGGGAATTCCCCAGAGAGATGAGTGGGGACATGAGCTGATGGTGTGCAGGTGTGTCTGGAGTTCAGGGGAGAGAGTCAGCCAGGGGTTTGGGCCCGGTCAGGCTGGGTGGGAACTGATGCCCAGAGTGGGTGAGTCTGCCAAGGCAGAGGCTGAGGGAAGTGAGAAGGGTGAGGGATGGAGGAGGTATAAGGAAGCTCGAGGGGTAGTCATTTCAGGGTGGAGGGACTAGATCACCACACACATTGACTGAATACCCACCAGGGGTGGGGGGGGGGTCACTGGTGGTCTGAGTGAGGTGCCTGTCCTTGGAGTGGTGGTGATTGTGAGTGAGTGGGAGGTGAGGAAATGGATGGTGAGTTGGTTGCCCACAGTGGGGAACAAAAATAGTACGTATGTAGAGGGAAAAGCAGAGTGTTTTGGCTTAAATTGTGTCCTCCCAAAGGGGTATATTGAAGTCCTAATTAACCACTGGTGCCTGTGCCTGTGACTGGGACCACACTTGGAAATAAGTGTCTGCAGCTGCTATTGAGTTAAGGTGAGGTTGGGATGGGGGCCTCTCATCCAGTGTGACTGGTGTCCTTTTAAGAAGAGAAACATGCATCTGTCTTTGGCTAAGGTTGTGATCCCAGGGTCCTGGGATCAAGTACAGCCTCAGGCTTCCTGGTCAGCGGGGAGCTTGCTTCTCCCTCTCCCTCTGCCCCTCCTCCCTGTGCGCTATCTCTCTCTCTCAAATAAATAAATAAATAAAATCTTAAAAAAGAAAAAAAAGATAGAGGGAGAAACATGCCAGGGGGAGACAGGGACACACGGGGAGAGGACAGCCATGTGATGACAGATGCAGAGATTGGAGGGATACAGCTGCAGGCCAGGGAGCACCCAGGATTCTGGACAGCCACCGCCAGAAGCCAGGAAGAGGCAAGGAGGGATTCTACGCAGAGCCTCAGAGTGGCACTTGGCTGACAACTTGGTCTTGGACTTCTGGCCTCCAGAACCAAGAAAGAATATGTATCTGTGGCGTTAAGCCTCTCAGTTTGCCCACTTTGTTATAGCAGCCCCAGGAGGGGAATACATGGGTCAGAGATTGGACATGGTTCAGGTTTTCTTTTTTTTTTTTTTTTTAAAGATTTTTAAATTTATTTATTTGACAGACAGATCACAAGGAGGCAGAGAGGCAGAGAGAGAGCGGGGGTGGGGGGGGCGGGGAGAAGCAGGCTCCCTACCGAGCAGAGAGCCCGATGCGGGCCTCGATCCCAGGACCCTGAGATCATGACCTGAGCCGAAGGCAGAGGCTTTAACCCACTGAGCCACCCAGGGGCCCAGGTTTTCTTTTTTTAATAATCTGTAATTTATTGTATTTATTTGTACGATATACATTATTTTTTAAGTCAGGATTAATTTCTAAGGGGGAGTGTCCTGTCACAGGGTAAGGTGAAGGTGCAGGGAGACAACGGATGGTGTGGGGGGGTCACTTGCTTGTCTATAATAGGCCGAGCCAGGAGGCCCTGTGGGGATGGAGGGGTGTGGTTGGTTTGAAGGCAGGAAGGGGAGATGCTGCCTTCCCACAGGCAGACTTGGGGTGCTGGCAGCTTCTCTGTCGCCTACTTATGATTAAGTCCTGGGGCTCTACTGGCCCCGCATAGTGGTGTAGAGGAAGGTGCCGAGCAGCTAGGGAAGAATGCTGACCCAGGGTTGAATCAAGGGGCGTTGGGGGGTGCCCCAGAAACTCCAGAGTCTGTTGGTAAATTGAGACTGTGACTCCAGAAATTTGGAATGGAAAAAATGTGTGTGCGTGTGTGTGTGTGCCTGTTCTCTGTAAGTGTATGTGCCTGTGTATGTATGTTTTGTGTGTACATGTGTCCGCATGTTTACATGACAGCATACATGTGTATGTGAGTGTGCACGGGTGCATAAACGTGAGTGCATATGTGTGTGTACATGTGGTCACTCACATCGGGGTGGGTAGCCTTCGGAACTGTGGGTGTGCTCACGGAGCCTCTTGGCTTCCCTCCTCTCCGAGATGTAGCTCTGCTTGCCCAGGACCCCGCCTGGCTCCAGAAGGAGAGCACAGAGGAGGAAGCCGGGGCGCGGGGCGTACTGATCACCTGTCTTCAGGTAAGTAAGAAATCCATGTTGCTCTTCTTTCTTGCTTGGGCCTTTATCCTCTTCCCTTGGCCTGGAACTTCTTCACCCCACAGGTCTGGTCTCCAGGCCTCTAGGCACTGGACCTCCTGTAATGGGTGTGTGTGTGGAGGGGAGGTGTGGGACAACCCAGGCAGTGGTCTCACAGCTTCATTCAGACCTTCCTTAGCTGTGGATACCTCATTCTGCTGAGCATCAGGAGGGAAAACAGCAAGGATGTCTGCTGTCCTTGCCTCTTAGTTTTCACGGTCTCTGGGGGCAAACAATTGTCATTTACCAAATACTTCTCTCTTGCCTACAACATGCTCAGGTCTGCTGGACATTGGAGCTGGAAGGGAATAAAACTGCCATGGTTTCCTGGCTAGTTGCCAATGGCTCAGTCCTTTGATGCCACATGTCTGAACGCTGTCCCTCAGGGAGGAACAAGTAGAAGGAGGAGAGTTCTGTTCTGGGGTCTGAGCCAACGGGCAGATTCTGAGACCTCAGAACTCCTGGTTCTGATGAGGTAGCCCCTGGCTGAGCTGGGATGGGTGTGTGTTTCAGGAACCCGTCACCTTTGCTGATGTGGCTGTGTTGTTCACCCCAGAGGAGTGGATGTTTTTAGACTCTGCCCAGAGAAGCCTGTACAGAGATGTGATGCTGGAGAACTATAGGAACTTGGCCTCCGTGGGTAAAGACAGGCTCATTGCTTCATCTACACACTCCTGCAACACCTATGCATCCCCAGAGATGTGCTGGTTTGGGAAATCAAGAGGTGAAGAAACAGACAAATCCTGCTGTCATGGTGCTTACTGTCCAGGGGTTTCCTGTGGGAATGAAGGTCTCTCTGCTGCTCTCTGTTTCTCCATGGTTAAAAGTTTCTGGGCTTTTCAAGTGTCTCTCTGAGTGAGGCCCTGGGTTTTGGGGACTAGAGAATCCCATTGTTCTTTGGGACCCAGTGAGGGGGCTTGTACTTTGGTTCCTTAGTGAAAGAGCTCTGCCATGCCCATGAGAATGTAGGTGGGCTCATTTTGCTCTTCCCATCTCCAGTGCCTCTAGAGACTTCAGAATGTCAACCCTGGTTAATGGCAGGCCTGGTCTGCTAACACCTTGCACCTTTCCACAGGAGCAGGAGATCAGCTAGGCAAACCCAGTATGCTTTCCCTTTCGGAGCCAGGAGAAGAGCTGTGGGCCCCTGAGAGAAGAACCTTCCCAGGAACCCGTCCAGGTGAGCAGCAGGCAGATCAGGGAGCACCAGCTCTGATCACGAGATGAGTGTTAAGTTTGGAAATGGTTAGTAAGGGAAATGCTTCCATTGCCCTTTACAGAGCTGCTTTACTAGATTCTGCCTCCTTCCTTTTTATCCATAATGCTCTACTCTGGTTTCATAGAACGATCTGTCCTGCCTCCTCTTCACATTTATCATGTCCATGTGTATAGTTTATCATGTGTGTGTTTTATATGTATATAGCATGTGTATGCTTTGTCCAGTGCCTCCCCACCTGTGTGTTCTTGCTAATACTTTCTCTCCATTTCAGTCTCAATCTTCTTAGAACTCTTTCTTAGTAACTTATCTACCATTTCCATTCCTTGTTTCTATGGTTACGTGACTCCTTACACATAGTCAAATACCTTAAAATTTCCTTTACTCTTTGATACATTCCTCCTCTTTACAATTTTCTCCCATAGTTAGAATCAGTATTTATATTTTATTTTTTAAGAAAGAGATGATTTATTTGTGAGAGAGAGTGTGCACACGAGTGGGGGGAGGCGCAGAGGGAGAGGAAGAGAGAGAAGCTCAAGCAGACTCCCCACTGAGCGAGGAGCCTGATGTGAGGCTTGATCTCATGACCCTGAGATCATGACCTGAGCCAAAATCAACAATCAGATACTTAACTGACTGAGCTACCTAGGTACCTCTAGAATCAGTATTTAAAAAAAATCTGCATGTTCTCTGCTTACTTTTATGGTTGCCTTGGTCCCACAGTTTCCTTCCCTGTGTACTTAATTTTTCTATCCTTATTCATTCCAGAACCTCAGCATCAACCCCAAGATTCAGTTTCTCACCCAGATATTTTTGCAGAGAGTCCATCCACTGGCATGAAAAGGGTAAGGTGCCCAAGGGTTTTTCTTAGTCCTCTGTCGTAGGACAAGTCTGGGGTTGCTGTAGATTAGAAAAGCAGCACAAGAGGCCAGAGAGGGAAAGATTGAGAGAGAGGAGAGAGAGAGAGATTCAAGGCAAGTGGTGTTCACGCAGGGGAAAGCAGATTCTTGGGAGAGAGTCTATGAATGTCATGAGTTGGGGAAAACCCTCCATGTTGATCAAGGCATGTGTTTCCCAGAGTTTCCATAGCAGCCATATTTATAAATGTGAATAGACATCAAGTGTTTAAAACTTAATTTGCCTCTAACTCAGCCAAACTGCATCTAAGAGGCCTCCTGAATATAATGAAAATGACAGCTCTCTGTGGCAGAGCATCCACTTGAAGGGACTTGGGAGAAATGGTGCAGACACACTAAAGTGCTAAAAGCTTTAGCACCAGAAATGCCTTTTTCCTATGAATGTAATAGAGCCTTTGGTCTTCCTATTTTCCTCAATTGACAGGAGCAACCTCAGACTGGAGAAAAACTCTATAATTACAGTGAACTTGGGGAACCCTTTCACGGCATCAAACCGCTTTTTCAGTACCAGAGAATTCACGCTGGAGGTGACCCCTGTGAATGCCACGAGGGTGGAAAATCCTTCTTCCAACCCGCTCACCTAATTGTGCCAGACAAAATCCATCGTGGGGACAAAACCTACGTGTGTAGCAAATGTGAGAAATCCTTCAGATACAGCTCCGACCTGATCAGGCATGAGAAGACTCATACCGCGGAGAAGTGCTTTGAATGTCAGGAGTGTCGGCAAGCCTTCAAGTATTCCTCAAATCTGCGGCGCCACCTGAGGACTCACACTGGAGAGAAGCCTTTCGAATGTGCTCAGTGTGGGAAAACCTTCACTAGGAACTTTAACCTAATTCTGCACCAGCGAAACCACACGGGCGAGAAGCCCTACGAATGTAAGGACTGTGGGAAAGCGTTTAATCAGCCATCCTCTCTGAGGAGCCACGTGAGGACTCATACAGGAGAGAAGCCCTTTGGGTGCAGTCAGTGCGGGAAGGCCTTCAGGGAGCACTCGTCGCTGAAGACACACCTGCGCACTCACACCAGGGAGAAGCCGTATGCGTGTAACCAGTGTGGGAAGCCCTTCCGGACGAGCACTCATCTGAACGTCCACAAAAGGATACACACCGGGGAGAAACTGTATGAGTGCGCTACTTGTGGGCAGGTCTTGAGTCGCCTCTCAACGCTCAAGAGTCACATGCGAACTCACACGGGAGAGAAGCCCTATGTGTGTCAGGAATGTGGGCGAGCCTTCAGTGAACCTTCATCCCTCAGGAAACATGCAAGGACGCACACTGGCAAGAAGCCCTACGCCTGTCAGGAATGTGGGCGAGCCTTTGGTCAGTCTTCACACCTTATTGTGCACGTGAGGACTCACACTGCAGGGAAACCCTATGAATGCAATCAGTGTGAGAAAGCCTTCAGGCACAGCTCTTCACTTACTGTGCATAAAAGAATTCATGCCGGGAGAGAGAACGTTAGGAATGGTGGCCTGGCTTTATCAGTGTCCCATCTGCATAGTGGGCCCCTTGCTGAGTGACTTCCAAGTTTTAAAAATATATGTGTTCCAGGCTATAATCATCTCTTGTAGTACTTGTTTTAGCTACATCACATGTTTTGATACATATTTTCATTTTGGTTGAAATCCGAATATTGTCTTAGTTTCTATTATCACTTATTCTTTGGCCTGTGAGTTATTTATAATTAGATTTTAAAACAACAGGACATAAGTATATTTTTATAGAGGTATAATTACTTATAGTGAAATACATAGATCTTAAGTGTATAGTTGGAGGACTCTGACAAGTGCATACATATGTATATGTAACCAATATGCCATTTAAGATATAGAACATTTCTGTGCTTCTGGAAAGTTCCTGCATGTATATGGGTGGGTGGTTTTTTTTTTTTTTATTTTACAAATTTTTGTTGGTTTCTAATTTAATTTCATTGTGAGCAGAGAATGTGGTGTTTATGTTATTGAACGTCAGGTATCTGTTTTGTTTTTGGTGTGGCGTATCCTGTTAGTTGCCTGTCAAAATTGCCCCTTCCTCTTTACAAAAAGGACTTACTTTTTTTGTTCAGATTGGTAATGTGCACTGTTAAAAAACCTCTATCTCTTGGTCCTTGCAGCTAGAGGAGCCCCCCCTCACCCCCCCTGCCGCCTGCCCTGCAGTCCTGGCCTTTCTAAGTATGGGAAGTTATTGAATGTGATACCTGGGAAGGATGTTGTAAAGGAATATTTATCTAGATCCCTCCACGTCTTGCCCTTTGTACAAACAGACATGATGTCTGGCACTAGAGGAGCCATTCCATGACCATGAGGGTAAAAGCTACAGGCTAAAGAGAGTGTGGCCAGAAGTCACACCAACCTGTTTCCCTAGTTGGTGTCTTTGTGTGACTGTCCTGGCCCATTTTTCTGGACATCTTGTGATGTGAAAAAAAATGCACTTCTTACTGGCACATGACATTGCTATTTTGGGGATGGGTAGGGGAGGGGAGGGATGGGTTTATTATGGCCTAATGAAGTATCTCACTGATGCACTTAGTAGAGGGTTAGTTTTCATATATGCTTCATGGGTAATGGAAATCAATGTATTGTATTCTACATACATCCACTAGCCTGAGTATACTATTTGTGTTTCAAAATATTCTACACATTTATACATACTGGTCAATATCTTAGTCTGTGTGGGCTGCATAACAAAAATACCATTGATCGGGTGACTTATAAATAACAGAACTTTTTTCTCATAGTTCTGGAGGCTGGAATCCAAGATCAAGATGCCGACAGATTTGCTTTCTTGTGAGGCCTGCTTCATGGTTCATAGACTGCCATCTTCTTGCCCCGTCCTCACATGGCAGAAAGAGCAGAGGAGCTCTGTGGGGTGTCTTGCAGAAGGGTGCTAATCCCATTCATGAGGGTTCCACCCCTATAACCTAATCACCTCCCGAAATCCCACCTCCTAATACCATCACAGAATGGGAATTAAGCTTCAGAATATGAATGGGGGGGGTGCACAACATTCAGTCCATATCCGTCTTTGATCTGTGAACTGAGACAGCTATGTTAAGCTCTCCCACCATGATTAGTGAATCTTGTAATTCTGTCAGTTTTTAAATTTATGTATTTTGAAGCAAATTAAATGAGATTTTTGATACTTAATGTTTACAGCAAATTGTTCCTTTTATTCTTCTAGTGACCATCTTTCTCCCTAGTGATGAATATTCAACCATTCATTTTCATAACAGCAAGTCATTGTTTGGAGCTTACTGTTAACAGATAGTAGATATTAACAATGATTCTTTGAGGTAGATACTATTATTATCCCCAGTTTATAGATGGGGAAACTGAGGACAAGCTCAAGGTGAGTTAACTAAGGTTATACAGGTGGTAAGTGATGGAATCTGACTCCAAAATCCAGAGGCTGTGCACAGTGCCTTACCCTGGGGGACTTTTCTTCCTTTATACCTGTTCTTATAGTCTGTTTTTTTGTGTTGTTGGTTTTTCTTTTTTTTTTCTTTTTTCTTTCTTTCTTTTTTTCTTTTGGAGAGAGGGAGAGAGGAAGAGGGAGGGACAAAAGGAGAAAGAGAGAGAGAGAGAGAGAGTCTTAAGCACACTTCTTACCCAGTGTGGAGCCTGATGCTGGGCTTGCTCTCAAAACCCTGAGATCAGGGACGCCTGGGTGGCTCAGTTGGTTAAGCAGCTGCCTTCGGCTCAGGTCATGATCCCAGCATCCTGGGATCGAGTCCCACATCAGGCTCCTTGCTTGGCGGGGAGCCTGCTTTTCCCTCTGTCTCTGCCTGCCATTCTGTCTGCCTGTGCTTGCTCTCTCTCCCTCTCTCTCTGACAAATTAAAAAACAACAAAAAAACCCCCCTGAGATCATGGCCTGAGCTGAAATCAAGAGTCAGATGTTTAACTGAGCCACCCAGAAGCCCCTGTTTTTGTGTTTTAAAATTCTAGGGGTGCTGGGGTGGCTCAGTTGGTCAAGCATCTGCCTCTGGCTCAGGTGATGATCTTTGGGTCCTGGAATCATGCCCATGTGAGGCTTCCTGCTCAGTGGGGAGTCTGCTTCTTCTTTCTCTGCCCCTCCCTCCCCCTGCTTGTGCTTTCTCTCTCAAAATCTTTAAAAAATCTAACAAGTATAACTTGTGTAAAAGTTCATAAATCCTGGTGCACACATTGGTGAATTTTATATATGTCTACGCCACCATATCAAGATATTAAATATTGTATCTCCCCAGAAGTTTCCCTTGGGTCCTATCCTTGCCAATAAGCCCCATCCAGAGGTAATACGCATTCTGATTTCTGTCACCATAGATTTGTTTTTCCTGTTCATAGAGATGGAACCACACACACTGCCCACTTGTGGCTGGTTTTTCATTTAATATAGTGTCTGTGAAATTTATCTTTGTCACATTTTCAGTAGTTTATTTTCTTTAAAAACTGCTGGGTAATACTCCATTGTCTGAATATCCCACAGCCAAGATATTCCAATCTGTTTATGAATATTTGGGTTCTTTCCACGTTTTGCTGTTAGAAATAAAGCTGCTGTGAATGTTCTTGGACAAGTCTTACTGTGAACAAATGTTCTCCTTTCTCTTAGGTGTCAGCCTGGAGCAGAGTCGCTGGGTCATTAGGTTGGCAGACTGTGAGCTGTGGTATATACTGCCAACAATTTTCCAAAGTGGTTGAAACAATCTATACATCCATCAATGCATGAAAGTTTGGTTTGCTTTACATCCTGATAATGTATGCTACTGTTAGTTTAATTAAAATACATTTTTAAATGTTTAAATTGAATCAATTGACATTTGGGATATTACCAGGTTCAGAGAAAGAGTTTAGTGATTGATCAGTTGCATACAACACCCAGTGCTCATTACTTCAAGTGCCCTCCTTAATGACCATCACCCAGTTACCCCACCCCCCACTTCTCCTCTCCCCTCTAGCAACCCCCAGTTTGTTTCCTATAGATACAAATCTCTTATGGTTTGTCTCCTTCTCTGATTTTGTCTTATTTTTGTCTCCCTTCCCTTATGATCCTCTGTTTTGTTTCTAAATTCGACATATGAGTGAAATCATATAATTATCTTTCTCTGATTGACTTATTTCCCTTAGCATAATACCCTCTATCTACCTCATTGCAAATGGCAAGATTTCATTTTTTGATGGCTGGGTAATATTCTGTTACACACACACACACACACCCACACACACCATCTTCTTCTTCTTTTATTTCTTATAATTTTATTTTTTATTTTTATTTTATTTATTTATTTATTTATTTATTTTTCAGCATAACAGTATTCATTGTTTTTGCCCCACACCCAGTGCTCCATGCAATCCGTGCCCTCTCCAATACCCACCACCTGGTTCCCCCAACCTCCCACCCCCCGCCCCTTCAAAACCCTCAGATTGTTTTTCAGAGTCCATAGTCTCTCATGGTTCACCTCCCCTTCCAATTTCCCCCAACTGCCTTCTCCTAACTCCCCTTGTCCTCCATGCTATTTGTTATGCTCCACAAATAAGTGAAACCACATGATAATTGACTCTCTCTGCTTGACTTATTTCACTCAGCATAATCTCTTCCAGTCCTGTCCATGTTGCTACAAAAGTTGGGTATTCATCCTTTCTGATGGAGGCATAATACTCCATAGTGTATATGGACCACATCTTCCTTATCCATTCGTCCGTTGAAGGGCATCTTGGTTCTTTCCACAGTTTGGTGATCGTGGCCATTGCTGCTATAAACATTGGGGTACAGATAGCCCTTCTTTTAATTCCATCTGTATCTTTGGGGTAAATACCCAGCACACACACACCATCTTCTTTATTAATTCATCTGTCTATGGATATAAGGGCCCTTTCCATTTTTTGGCTATTGTGGACATTGCTGTTATAAACATTGGGGTGCAGGTGCCCCTTTGGATCACTATATCCTTAGGGTAAATACCTAGTAGTGCAATTGCTGGGTCATAGGGTAGCTCTATTTTTAATTTTTGGGGAACCTCCATAGTGTTTTCCAGAGTGGCTATACTAGCTTGCATTCCCACCAGCAGTCTACACTTGCATTCCCACCTTTGTCTTCAACCTTGCCAACATCTGCTATTCCCTGACTTCTTAATTTTTGCCATTCTGACTGGTGGGAGGTGGTATCTCATTGTGGTTTTGATTTGTATCTCCCTGATGCCAAGTGATGTGGAGTATTTGTTTATGTGTCTGTTGGCCATTTGATGTCTTCTTTGGAGAAATGTCTGTCCATGACTTCTGTCCATTTCTTTACTGGATTATTTGTTCTTTGGGTGTTAAGTTTGGTAAATTCTTTATGGATTTTGGGTACTAGCCCTTTATCTGATAAGATGTTTGCAAATATCTTCTCCCATTCTGTCAGTTGTCTTTTGGTTTTGTTGACTGTTTCTTTCGGGCAAAAGCCTTTTATTTTGATGAAGTCCCAATAGTTCATTTTTATTTTTTTTCCCCTTGCCTTTGAAGATGTGTCTAGCAAGATGTTGCTGGGGCCGATGTCGAAGAGGTTACTGCCTGTGTTCTCTAGAATTTCGATGGGTTCCTGTCTCATATTTATATCTTTCATCCACTTTGAGTTTATTTTTGTGCATGGTGTAAGAAAATGATACAGTTTCATTCTTCTGCATGTGGCTGTCCAATTTTCCCATCATTTGTTGAGGAGACTATCTTTTTTTCCCACTGGATTATTTCCTGCTTTGTCAAAGATTAGTTGACCATAGAGTTTAGGGTCCATCTGTGGGTTCTCTATTCTGTTCGATGGATCTATGTGTCTATTTTCTTGACAGTTTCATGCTGTCTTGATGACCACAGCTTTGTGATACAGCTTGACTTCCAAAATTGTGATGCCTCCAGCTTTTGTTTTCTTTTTCAAAATTTCTTTTGCTATTTGGAGTCTTTTCTGGTTCTATACACATTTTAGGATTGTTT